TATTAGTAACTGGGACTAAGATCCAGTAACCTATTGTAGACTTTTAGCAAAATTGTATGATTGTTTTTTTGTTTTGTCTTTTTGTGTACTTGACTTAATGCAAAAACTTCTTATGGAAACGAATCATTTTCACTGCCAATACATAAGTCAAAGAAGAGGACACCTCAATGTGGTGTAATAGTTAACAAGCTTGTCTTGCTAGAACAATTACAATTAAGTAGCAAGTTTGATCCTCACTAGGTGCCATGTCTAAGTTATGTTTTGAAAATTACCATAAAGAGAAGATGAATTAAGACTGCTATTCTTATTCATATCATGTGCGTATAATTTTCTTTTTTTTGTGGGAAGGGGCACAATGAGGTTGCTTAAATAACTCCACTTTCTTTTAGCTTAGAGGACTTCTTCTATGTGCTGTGTCACTTTAGGATGCTGGCGATCAGGGTACTCCACAGCTTCTTGTCCTTTGTAGCTCTTAGTAAAGTTGATTTTTTTGCTATATTTCCTAATTCCTGTTCTGCTAATCATGTACACAAGCCATTTGGTAGGTTATACATTGCTTTCCTCTGTTCCTCTTGCTTTCAATATTTCCTGTAAGTGCCAAATTTTCAAAAGCCCTTTTTCCTCATTATGTACCTTGGAAATTGAACATGTCTCTTTCTGATGCTAAGTATAAGTGTTCTTTTGGTTTCCATTTTCTCTCAAAAACTTTGTCATTGAATCATAAAACAAATAATTTCACCAATCCGAAGACAAATGTCTTAAATTTAATGAGAAGAACCAATATGTTTATCCACTCATAAATGAATTGGCACGTAGCTTAAACAGTTATTTTACCCAAATTAAACATGTAGCTTAAACAGTTATTTTACTAAAAGTAAACATGTAGCTTAAACAGTTATTTTACCCTAAGTAAACATGTAGCTTAAACAGTTATTTCACCCAAAGTAAACATGTAGTTTAAACAGTTATTTTACCCAAATTAAACATGTAGCTTAAACAGTTATTTTACTAAAAGTAAACATGTAGCTTAAACAGTTATTTTACCCTAAGTAAACATGTAGCTTAAACAGTTATTTCACCCAAAGTAAACATGTAGTTTAAACAGTTATTTTACACAAAGTAAACATGTAGCTTAAACAGTTATTTTATCCAAAGTAAACAGATTCTATTTTACTATCATTCTGCATGGACTGAAATATTGCAGTTTGGAAAATTTGGTATATTTCTTTTTTTTTCTCATTTTACGTCACAGTAACTCTTATCAATCCTAAATCAAAACAAGCAAAGCAAAGTTCTTACCATATATTACACATTACTTTCTGCAGCAGCTGTAAAATAATTAAAATGATTTCAACTCACCAAGTATTATTTTATCTGTTCATATCAATAAGAAAATGTTCTTAGTACTCCAGCCAGAAAGAAAATTCTACTTATCACTCAATAGAAAAGAAATGAAACAAATAAAACCCTCAGTAACTATTATTTCCTACTTAAATTTTTTCTCTTGCCTGCTTTATCCAAATCCTAAACTGTCAGCTTTTACATTTAAAAACAATCAAGCTAAATAAAAAAATAAAATAAAAATAAAATAGCTTATAACATTGTAATTATAATCTAGAGAGATTTGTCTGTGAACGCCTCATAAAAAATTTGAAGACATTGTAATTGACTTGTGATTTGATAATAAAGAAGTTTTTCTGATTCAGCAAAATTTTTCTTCTGTCTCACTAATCAGTAAACTTATAACAAATCTACTTTAGTGAAAAGATTTTGTTTCACTAAATAAATGAGAGCAACATTCATTAGTATATATTAAGATGAATACAAGTAAGTTAAAAACTTTTTTGTATGAAAGTAGTTTTAGTTTTATGACTGTCAAAACAACCATATATGTAGCACTGATATGTGATCACTTCTATTTTTGTTAGTATTGATTCAATTCTAATCTGAAACTAATTACTGTAGAGTTTTAATATTTCTATGAATATATACTAAAGGATTTCATTTATTGATTATTAATATATGTCTTTTACATTTGTATATTTAATAAACAAATTTTATCATAAATAAAACCTAAAAAATTCTTTCCATATTAATGAAATATTTTCCTTTCACATTGCTCTGAAAAAAATCTTGTTAAAAAAGTTCATTAAAAATTGAAACATTTTTTTAAATATAATAAAAAACAAATATTGCAACTTGACCTTAACTATAAAAAAGTAAGGGATGTCCTTTGTTACTGATACAAAATCAACAATTCTACAAATAAGCATTTATAATTTGATAGTGAGGAGAAGGCACGGTGGAGTAATGGATAGCAACTCGGTTTGTGGAATCAGAGAGCTGAGTTTGAATTCCAGTTGAATCTATTACATTCACTTACGTGCTAATACCTTTGGGAAAGGTATGAATCCTCTTTTTCTCCTCCCAGCTATGGGTAAATAGCAGGACAAACCAAGTTCTATAGCCTTGGATGGCAACTGGCTTACTGCAGAAAGAAATGGCAACCTACCATGGGAAAAAATCTGCCTCGTCAGTCATGTATCTTTCGATACCTGATCACCTAGGCGTGTATCACACATGGCACATGACTGAGTGAGGAGAGACATTGGGAGAAAGGTGGTGAGGCCTGAAGTCCCAAGTGACCTAGATGATAGTAACAGCAATGACTTGTTTCAGAGAAATAGATTGGATTCAGAGGAAAAAATTGAGTGTTAAAGTCTTTAAATACACAAACATTAGCAGTTACTGATTTTTTTTTTTTTTGTTTTTTTAAGCACTTCCCCCCCAAGCAAGGCAGGAAGCCACTAGCATGCAAGGGGTTACAGAGGATTTGGAGTGAGAGCAGATAGGAGTGATAGAGAAAAGAATGAGGAGAAGGATAGTGGATAGATCAAGGCAACTGGAGATGTCGATTGACATTACATTTGAAAAGTCGGAGATTATAGCTATCAGAGAAACAGGAAAAGGGAAGGGAGTTCCACAGGCGAGAGGTGCGAGATATGAAGCTACTGGAGTAGAAGAGATGGCGACATTTAACAGTTTCAACAGTGAAAGGATGAGAGCCGGATGCCAGCCTCATAGAACGCTTGAATTCATGAAGTCTGGGAACCAGCGAAAGCAGCTCATCGAAGCAATTACCATGAAAGTAGTAGAGAGGCGATGTCTGTGAGAGAGTGACTGCAGACGAGATGCCAGATTGGGGCCAGTTATATTGCATATCCATCTCTGGATCTTATCAAGAACCCTGAGACAAACAGAAGGGACTCCAGACTATATATGGCAGCAATACTCCATGGTTCTGAATTTTTCATGACAGAATGTTACTATTAAAACCTTTCTGTACTCAGATGTAATTTAGTCATTTTTGTCTCATAATAGTTTGACTCCTGAAAACATAAATTATTTTATTAAAGCCATTGGTTTATGTCTAAAGAAACTGTTCAACAAGCAAAAATAACGAGTAAGAAAAGTTTTTTTTTCTCTCTTTGATATCATTTGGTCAAAACTATAATTACCAATACTTTACTGAAAATAAGCTAAGATTTGTATTAAAATCAAATTTTATAGAGATATTTCAAGAGTAAATACATCCAATTTAAATCTCAGTGTAAGTTCTATAAAATCTATTACATTGTTGCCTTATACACTGAAAAAAAAAAAGAAAAAATTCTGATGTCAGTAATGTAGGTGTGTTTTGAAAATCTTGAATACTTCTTTTGCAAGCTGGCAATTCTCATCCTATTGAATTGGTTTCTAAATACAAAACTAAATAAGACCCCTTGTTTCTAAATACCAAATGTCTTTGCTTCTTTTCCTTTATCTTTCATCTTTTGTCCATTTAAATTTTTTTTAACAAGTGGCCAATTTCTACTTGTGTGCTTTTTGACAATTTTCTAATTTGACCAGAAAATGCTTTTCTTCAATTCATTTCTAGTAGAGTGGCATGCATATGTTGTTACTTAATAGCAATCATGTCCTTCAAGAAGGCCTAATTCACTTGACTTTAAAATAATTGAAATTATTTTTTTTTTTACTTTACCTATTTAGGCTTTCTCTCTCATTAAAAAAAAAACAGCAGCTTATTAAGTTTTCTTAAGAATAATTATTATTCTGATTTAATCTCATTAAATTTTTTCTTTTTCTTTTTAATAAATATGCAATGAAATCATTAAAAACTCAGAATAGAAAACAATTTTATTACTTAATTTAATACATATTTAATTCTAAAAAGTAGAAATTATATGAAACTGACACTTACTCTTTCAAAGGAATTTTGTGAAGTCTATTAATTCAGATTGAAAATTTTATGAGTTTTGATTAGCAGAAGAATATATATTTTTTTTAATAAAAGACCAAACTTTTTTTAATATTTTATACCAGGAAAAATTATTTTCAAGAAAGACTAATAGAAAGGGGTGCTGAAAAGTTATTGACCCACACTACTTCTCTAAAACTGACCAAATGACCAAACATTAAATTTTAAATTCCTTATTGTTCAGGCTGAGAACTTTCCAGCAAGTACCACCTCATGAAGTCATATTCATTTTTATCACAAATATCTTCATGGATATAATCTGAATTTTAAAACACAAAAATAAGCAATGTCTCGAATATTTACAAAACATTTTGTTATTAAAATGCAGTAACTTGTAGCAACTTTTTTCTCTCCTATTTCATCAATAATTCTTTGAACTCAGAAAAAATATAATAATTGCATTAAAAAGGTGAATCAAAATTAGGATTTTAATTTGTTGAATTACTTAAACTTTCTTATTTATTTTTTCAATCTCAAAAACTATTTTTACAAGTATTTCCTTTTAGATTGATTATCTTGGAAAAATAACTGTAAAACAATATGAAATCTGAACAAATCAACTGATTTTGTTCATTAGAAAATATATTTCCTGGTTTCATAATTTTGTTTCTTTTTGAGAAATATTGATTTAAAAATATTAATTATTTCACTTGTATGTTATTCTTTTCATCTAATTTTACAGACAAGCACTTTGCTGTAAGATGGCCCAAGAATATGACACTTTTATGGAATCAAAGAAAAGGTAAGCATTCGCTGTGATCACCTTTTTAGAAGTTGTTTTCTTTTCTATTCTGAAACTTTCTTTTCTGCAACTTTTTGTTATCATTTTAAAAAATTACTTTGCAGTACAGGGTATTTTGCATAGAACCGAATCTTCTTAATTTGTTTACCTACAATTACTTTAAATTCTTTTGTTTGATCCTTGGAAGCAAAAAAAAAACAAGATTGGCTTTGTGAGTAATAAAGTGATTGTACAATTCTATTTGATTTGTACTAAAAGATAATAAATGATAAGGATGGACTCAAAAGATCTATTTTTTATCAACAGATACAATTCATAACATTGCTTAACTTTATTGATAGAGGTTAAATATTACCAGCAATAAATATATAAATTTAGTGATCTTTTGCCGGCCTTAGAATTCATTAAATTTGACAACTAATATTATATACCTATAAAATGTGTCTTAGAAAAGGCTTGGGAAGGAGTTGGGTACTAATACCCAAGGTTTGCCCAATAATAAAATATTAAGTCATTAAAATTGTCTAAATGATATAATAGGATAAGGGACCTAAATGATGCTTCTTTTGTTGAAAGTACCCTGTGTTGTGCTTTATTTTTTTTCTGTAGAAGTATTGACTGCTTTATCACATTCCCTTCTTAGCAAAGCTGTGGGTTTCCTTGAGAATTCAAGTTGGACCCAGATCTCAAGAAACAAACTGCTTCTTGAGCGTGAGAAAATGGTGAGGGATGAAAAGAAAAAAAAAGAGGGCGGAGAAAGAAAAAAAATAGAAAAATATAAAAAAATAAAAATACTTTCAAAGAAAAAAGAGTAAGGGGAGTAGAAGAAGGAACTGAAATGGAAAAAGAAAGTAAAAAGAAAAGAAATGAATAAATTGAGTGAAAGAAAAAAGGTGTACAGAAGTAGGAAGAAAAGGAATGAAGAAAAAGGAATGAATTAAAGAAAAAAGGCTTAAGAAGGAAATAAAAAAAACGAAGGAAACACAAAGTTTCTGCTGGAAAAAAACATGACTGCTTATTGGGCAAGCAAGAGGTGAATAAAAAAAATAAAATAGGTGGGTTGTAAAAAAATAAAGTCTACAACACTGTCTGTCTGGATAAAATGAGATGATGGAACCATTTAGAAAGTTGCAATTAGGGGTTGTTTTGAAGTTTGATAATATTGTGGAGTATGTTAGGATTATCACATGATATTGGTAAAATTAGTTATATATAAATCTTATTTAATTAAACAATTTTCAGTTTTTTTTTTTTTAAATATCTGGATAAATTTGTTTTAACATTTGAGACAACTGTGTTTGTTTTTGATTTTTATTATGAATATTATTGGTAAAAATGTATACATTTGGGAATAATGCTGTGATTAAAATAATGATTTAGTAATGGTTCATTCTTATTTTCCAGCTGTTGAGGATTTGTGTCAGAAAGGGTATTTGGTTTCAAAAATATTAAGTCCACAAATATTTGCACATGCACTTTTAATATTTTCTTATAAAATTATTCTGTTATCATTCTCCCAAGTGATTTTATGAAAAAATTTCAATTTATTTTTTTTGTTTCTTTGTTTCTTTTGGGTCATTTTTTTTTTAAGATGAAATTTCTAAACATTAATTCATGGGTAAAAAGTAGAACTATCTGTTGTTTTCTTTCTTTCTTTCTTTCTTTCTTTCTTTCTTTCTTTCTTTCTTTCTTTCTTTTCTTTTTTTTTTTATGTGTGTGTTTTGGCATTTTTCTGACTTCAGAAGCAAAAAAGGAATTTCAAGAAAACAAAAAAGTGTAAAAAATCCCAACTTAATGTATTGTTTCCTGTTCATGAAACATGATTTGAAATCACTTATTTTTTGATTCCATAAAAATATATTGAATAGTAAAATTGTTTCCATAGGAATAAATATATCTAGAGAGATATTTACAATTGTCTATTTTTGAATTGATAACAAATCATTTAATATCAAAGAATCAATAATAATAGAAAACATGCAAGAGAAGCTTTGAAACTAATGTTATTTATTTGTATGGAAACTAAGTTGTCAGCTACAAAACAGTATTTTTCCACATAATTACCATCAGTGGTTATTTATTTTCACAAGGGATGAACAAGAAGTTTTAATTTCATGGATTGATAGTGATTTTTCAAGTGTAGCTCAGATGTGGCACAAAGCTGAAAGTATGGGGCACCCAGTGAGTATCGAACTCACTACTCAGTCGTAATTGTTCTAGCGAGACTTGCTAACCATTACACCACCCCGAGGTGCCCTTTCATGGGTTGATATCTGTACAGGGCTGTCTGGAATGTGACTTGTGCATTTCTGTTGCCATTGCAGAAATGCATTACTCAACACCTAACTATGCTCACATCCACTGTTTGATCTCTGTAAATGCAAACATTGATAAATATCAATGGGTGCAATTTTTTCTGCATGGAGGAATTCAGTGATATAACTCTCTTTCATACATATTTTCATGTCAGACTGCCGCTTAGTTGCTCTCTATAATAAAGCAAAATAATTATGGATTATTGGCAGGAAGGCTCAACCTCTGCTGCAATTCCATCAACATCCTCTGCTGCTGTCATTAGGCAATGGGCAATGCATTTCAATAGTAACAACAGCAATTTGCATGATATATTCTAGACAGCCCTGCACAACTGTCAACTCACAAAATAAAGAGTTATTCTTCATCACTGACAATGATATTAACTATGTAGTTGTAAACTTGCTCTTTCTAACACTGTTATTGTATGCTTGTTGTATCTGATGTGGTTTCTATGGAAATAAATAGGAAGCATTATTTTTGGAGTGTCTCTTATACTTTTTGGAAAAAAGAAACTAGTATTTGCATGTAATAACTTTAATTAGAGTATTAATGCTTAATTACTTGAGAAATGTTTATGAGAATTTGTTTAGATATTAGGTAAGAAATGTTACAGGATGTCAGCAACAGAAGAATTTCTGAAAGATTTGGGGATCTATGTTGTGTGTATTTCATGTGGGGCTCCAAATAACCCAACAATAGATATAGTTTTTCAGCAGTACCCGTGGGAACATCTTATTCAGATGAGGAGGTTGCGGGGAAAGAAAGCAAAGTCTCAAAGGAGAAAAATGAAGAAAAACAAGGAAAGAAGAATGAGGAAAATGAAGAGGGGGAAGCTGAAAAGTTGGTCAGAAGGTTTTTTGAGATTACATAATATGGCGCTAAAACTTTTAGTGCCATGACGTCAGGTTGCGCGAAAATGAAAAAAGTGAGGGTTAGGAAATGGCTGTTTCCTTTTGCCTTTATTTAGTTTTTATTTTTGTTTTGACATTAATGTATTTTGATACAGAGCAGGGAGTTGATATCAGGAGTGGTACTGAGGTTAAGGGTCACTCTAAGTTTTCAGAAAGGAATATATTCTTGATGAAAATTTTCGAAGCAATTCTGAAATTTTTGCACTTTTTGTTTATTTTCACTTTTTCTTCTTTCTGTTTTTATTTACTTACTCTTTACTTTACCTCTGTAGATTCTATTATTTCTTTCTTTCTCGTTGCTCCTCTCCCTCTCTCTCTTCCTCTTTTCATTTTTTATCATATTCCTCTCTTTCTTTAAGCTTCTTCATTATATTATATCTATTTTTTGTTGTGGACTCCTCTTCACACATATTTACCAGCTTTTTTCATTTTATTTCCTCCTTTGTTTATTTTTCTTCTTTTCCTCTTGAAAAAATTATTTGGAGATTATTTGATTTTGTTTATATTTTTCCATTTATTTTTATTGTATTTATTTTGAAGGCTTTTTTTTTTTCCTCACTTTTGCCTTTCCCTCAAATTCCACTCCCAGGGTTGTATTTTGGGGATTTGCTTAAAAAGACAAGTAAGCAGAATACAATTATTCATTCCTTCAGCTATAACTAACTAACATGTTAGCTCCCCCACCCCATATGCTGCTACTGGTAAGGAACTAGAGGATGGGGTTCTATCTAATTAACACAACCTTTTATACCTACAGCCTCCCCCTGTCTCCTCTGACTCCCTTTTCCCTTGACTAATTCCAGCTGGAAAAATGAAAAAGGTGATTGAAAAATGTTTGATTGGTTTGCATCAAAATCCAATATGCCTGTTTTTTGATTACAGTTTAATTATGTTTTTTCCATTAAAATATTTTAAAAAATCTATTCAGCAGTTTCTTTTTAGCCCAAAGTCTGGGAAAAAATCTGAAAAAAAATTACATATTTCTTGCAAGTTTAGCTGAAGAGTCAGAAAAAAATGACTAAAAAGTAAAAAGTTTATCTTTAATTTGCATGTAATTTGCATCAAACTTAATAAGACATTCATTAATTGTCAGAATTACATAGCTGATCCTCTATGACTATTGCATTTAATTGTAATATATGTAAAATCTTAACTGAATTCTCATACTATTACTAGTCAACGAAAATGTTGCTTAATTCTAGTGATCATGCTACTGTGGAAAGGCAACCACTTGTTGATAGGGATGGTGTTTTGGTGAACTGGTGAGTGGATGGGATGCAGGAGTTAGGTCTTTGTTTACAACCTGTACTTCTCAGCTCATTTCTCTAGTTTCTCTAAGCCACTGACTCATGTAATCAGTCAATATTAAATTAACTTATTCTGCAGAGTTTGCAAGGCCATTATAACATTAAACAAGCAGTAAATATGAGAAGGCAATTGAGAGCAAAAAAGAGAGAGTCTGTATGTTTAATACAGGGAGTGGATATCAGAAAGAGAAGAGAATAAAGAATGATAATACGTGAGAATGAGGGGGAAAAGAATTTTGTGGTTAAAATAGAAAAGGTTTATAAAATAATGACAGAGAAAAGAAGAAGAAGAAAATGCAAAAGAGGCAAAAATTTGGTGAAAGGGGAAACAGTGAAGAAGGAAAAACAAAATAATGGTTGGCTCAGTTACACCAGCTTAACCTGATATTATTATTATTATTATCATCATCATCATCATCATCATCATCATCATCATCATCATCATCATCATCACCACCACCACCACCACCACCATCATCATCATCATCATCTTTTCCTTTTACAAATACTTGCACAACTCTATTACATTAATCTTGAAAACTTGAATTTGCCATGATTTAAAGATGCCTTGAATATTAAGTGATATAATCTTTTCTGTATTTTAATAAACCTCCACAAAATGAACTGCATACTTCACATTACTTTATATACTCTTTTTTGTAAACTATACATAGGTCCATCAAAAGATCTGTTGTATTTATCTTACACAGCAAATATTTATTTTTTTTATCATAATCTTTCCTTTCATTGAATTTAATCACATAGATAAAAAAAAAAGAAAAGAATTATACTGTAAAAATTTCAGATCAACTTTCAACTAATAACTATGTTAGGCTACAGATTTATTGATGTGCCCTGTATATATTATAATGTGCAGTGAGTTGTACCCTAAATTGGTGCCATATTTTTACATAATATCTCTTTTTCAATAGTAGTGATTTTCCAAGCATAACTTAGATGTGACACAAGGCCAAAAGTATGGGACACCCAGTGAGGATCAAACTACTCAGTCATAATCGTTCTAGAAAGACAAGCTTGCTAACCATTACACCACCTCAATAGTAAAACTAGAGATGTTTCTCTTTTCCAATTCTGATATGAAACATGTGTATTTCCACTAACTTTGGGATTACTACAAAATCACTGATTCATTGATTAGTCCTTAAAATTCATTATAATCTGGTTCTTTTATGGGTCAAACATTATATTTCATGAAATAATCCTTTACAACTAAGTTCAGCTCCAAGCCAGAGAATGGTCAAATGGGAGAGACTGGCACCTCATAACCAGCTGTGTCAGGTAGACTACCAGGAAAGAAGTACATCTAGGGGAAGGAAAACCCTGATTTTAAACCTCTGCTGCCTTGTGGTCATATCCAAACACAGAAAAGGTTATGGCAGTAAATCCAGACAGTAAACATGGAGCTCCCCAAGCCAGTTGGCTATCAACTCCGATAATTTTTCTCTCGTCAACTCCTGCAGCTAAACCCAAATATAATGCCCTGTATTCCTTTGGATCTTGTCAGTATGGCCAAAAGGGGGATCATGTAGTCTGGGCAGCTCACAACTTCCATATATCATCACCCAGGCCTGCATCCTGGAGAGGTCACTACAGTTTCACCACCAAAAGAATGAATTTTGGCCAAACAGTGTGTTACTTTTCTTTATCCAGTGAGATAAACAGGATGCCTACTAAAGATCTAATTTTATGCTGAAACAGTGTATCTTTTCTTTATTTATTTAGTTTATTACTTGTAAAAATCTTTCATTTATCACATTTTTAAATCAATCAATGTCATATTTAATAAATTTACTACATCAATATATTTTAAACTCTGCATTTGGATAAAGATGAAAAAATATATTTATGTATAATTCTTATTTCATCTTCCATTTTTTTTTCCACAGCAGTGTAATGCTTTGGCCTTTGTATAAATAAAACATGTTAAGTAATGGATTTTGTTTTACTCTTAAGAATTTTAAATGTTGTATCTTCCTTTATTTTTTATTTTTCCTTTTACAATTTATTGTCTTCCTTCCTTCAAACTTGTCACTTCCTATCATCTTTTTAGGCTTTTTATGTTTTTTGTCTCTTATCTTCTTCTATTTAGTCAGTGGCTACATCCATAAAAATGGATGTTTAGAATATTTTATGCTTACATATAACTTTCTGCGTTGACAGGTTATGAGATGTAAAGATAAATATAAGACAAATTTAATCCTGATCTACCTCCTGAAAGGAAACACCAACTGTATGTTCAAGATGTTTTTATCAGGTTTTATTTTTATATCTTCAGGCATTAAAAATTTTCACTACTTATGGTTTCTTCTGAGCTAAAATAATAGGATAATGTTGTAAAATGGTTAGTGTTTATTCAGTAAGAAAGTATTTTGTATGGGTTGGATAATCCCTAAATGTGAGATCATAAGATGGGATGGAGATTAAAGAGATTAACCAATTAAAAAAAGGAAAAGTAACAGGGTGGATACATAGTTTGGGGATTGGTAGAAAGAATGGAAGATTTGAAGAGGAAAGGGTGAAAGAGAGAAAGAGTGAAAGAGTGAGAGAGGGAAAAAGAGTAAAAATGATAGTGTATAAAACACTATTATAGAAAAGAGTGAACAAGAGAAAAAGAAGATATGATAAAGTGAAAGGATAGTTTTGAGAAAGTGAAAGAAAAAGAGCAAGAAGATAAAACAGAAAAACGTAGCAAAAAAAAAGTTAAAAAAGGAAGAATCAGGTGAAGAGAGAGAAAAAGAGTGAGAAAGAGGGGAAAATAAGAAAGATAAAAATTGTTTAGAAAAAACAATTAAAAAGCATAAAGAGAAAATATATGTAAAACACACATTGAAACTTTTAAAAAGAAAGGAAGATCATTAAGGCAAAGAAAAATAGAAATAATGTGTGTGTGTGAGAGAGAGAGAGAGAGAGAGAGAGAGAGAGAGAGAGAGAGAGAGAGATAATATTAAATAGACAAAAAATATAGTGAAAAACAGATAAGAGACAGAAAATAAAGTATATGCAAGTAATTTATATTTTTCCCATATTTCTTTAGTATGGTAAAGAGAAAATATGAAAATTTAATGCAGTACATTATTTGAAAAAGTAGATGAAAATAGAAAAAAGAATATGAATTTATTGCATAAGGCATTTTTGTAATGTTTTAAGTTATATATGAAAGCTTAAGCATCATAAAGCATTACAAATACCATAAATGGTATAACTTGAAATTATTGAAGCCAAATACTGAAGAAAAATATATTTTTCATGTTTAACTTTGATAATTCCAAATTATTACCTTGTTCTAAACCTGATTTTTCAAAGTCCAACTAAATGGGAACTTTGCTTTTGTTGTAAACGCAGTGGGATATTGTAATGTAACAATTCTCAGTTAGTTACGGTCAGATTTTTATTACAGACATATATGTTCCTGACAATGATTTTTATATTTACAGTGTCTATACATAGACTCATTTGTAAGTATATATATATATATATATATATATATATATATATATATATATATATATATACTGATAATGTTATGTGTGTGTAGGTATATATGTGTGTGTGTGTGTATGTTGAAAAATATAATTACATATTTTTGTGTATATTTATGTATATATTCACTCAGCTGCATGTGGTTAAGTATATGTATACTTTTCAAAATATTTTTTTGAATATATACTTTATTTATACTTATATATATATGCACTTAAATGTATATCTCATCATTTAAATTTATGTAGTAATATAATTTACATTTATTTGCAAATGTGTGTGTATTTTTATGTATAGTTATCTTTATGTCTAATTATGTTTCAGGGCCACACTAATATGTGCATGCACACACATAAACTTAAGTATATATCTCATAAACTTAAGTATATATACACACACATATGCAAGTATACACATATATTGTATAACCAACTATTTGGTGCATTTGAATATGTGTATGCACGTTTTCCCTGCTTGTCATCATATGTCCTGTTTGTAGAGTGTAATCAGGCTATCTCGGATTGTCTTGTATAGAAAGTTTGCAAATTTAGCAAAATCAGCTGAGCAGCGTGGGAATCTTGGAATTGGTCTGCTTCCATATACATTTGGACTTGTGTGCACATGGCCCTTGAGCCTATGAAAGTTAGGGTGGCAGTTAGGGTGGGTTGACACCCAAGCTGGTGGATATGGTGGAATTTTAAAAAAGAAATAGGAGATTGAGAAAGAATGCAAAAGCAGTTTGGAAAAGAAATGGAATTATCAGGAACAAATTAATGATGAATAATAAAAGTGTGTATATGGGAGAAAGGGAGAAAGAGGGAAAATGGTTGTAAAAAGAAAGAGTGTATGTATATAGAGAGGGGTGTATATGAGAGAAAGAGAAAGTGTGTATGTATATTGAGAGAGGGATAGATATGAGAAAGAAGAGAAAGAGGGAAAATGATGGAAAGAGAAAGAAAGTGTGCATGTATATTGAGAGAGGGATAGATATGAGAAAGAAGAGAAAGAGAGAAAATGATAGAAAGAGAGAGAAAGTGTGCACGTATATTGATTGAGGGATAGATATGAGAAAGAAGAGAAAGAGAGAAATGATAGAAAAAGAGGGAAAGTGTGTATGTATATAGAGGGAGGTATAGATTTAAGGTAGCAAGATGCCTGGGGAAAATGAGAAAGTGTAGAAAAGCATAAAGAGAGAGAAAGATAGATGATTGTGTAGAAAGAAAATGTATGAAGAAAAGAAGTATTAATGAAAAGAAGTATTAACGAAAATAAAAAACAACAGAGAGCCATTGATGCTGATAAAGGCAATTTTAATGATTTAAGATGGAGGAAATGTAAAGAAAACCAGAGTGTGAGATGGTGAAAAAAGATGTAAGAAAGAAGAGAATGCTTACATTTATGTGTTTGAGAGATTTGAGCAGGAACAGAGATGGCGCGAAAAAATTGGGTTGAAATGGCGGGAGTTAGAAAAGGAAAAGAAAGGGAAATAGAAGAAGTAAGGCATTTTCATGGCAAGAAGAAAATGCAAAAAAATAAAACAAAAATGAGAAATGGATAGTTCTTGGAGAAAAACTCTTATATATATACTGACTTGTAAGATTAAAAAAGGTAAAAAAAATTCTAAAAAAATAAATCAGAAAGCACTGAAAAATTAAAACATTAAGAAATAAAATTTGTTAAAATTTTTGACAAATACAGCATTCAATCTTTACTATCAGACATAAATAAACATATTAATTTAAGAAGTCTTTAAGAATATAGAAGAAAATCTGGGGAAATATGCAAAGTCTGTAATTTCTTTCTGTTTTCTTCTTTCTCTATTTCAGAAGACTATATTACTTTGCCCATATGTATTTTAAGCCTGTACATATCATATATGTACTAGTACATTCCATCTGCTTCATAAGGTTTATTCAGTTACTTAGAAATGCTTAGCAAGAACAAACCATAATCATTTAAAATATGGTTGTGTGATAAAACTTGTCTTCATGACTTTTAAAAATTAAAAAAATATTTGTATTAAACAATTTCTGAACATTTAAATAAATGATTTCTTTAAATAATTGGTTATGTTGTCTAGATGTAAAAAATTGATGTTTGAACTGACTACATTATACTATTGCATTTATCCATTAAATATGTTTATTAGTCTTTATTATACATATATACCAGAGGTTTAAAACAGTAGTTCTCAAAGAATTACCTATAAGAAGGACATGTGGTTGAACATATATTCATAAATGTCAAAAATAGATATTCATAAATATCTGTGTTGGTTAGGTGAGGTTGAAATGAGAATGTATTTCTCTTTTGGTATTGGAAGTTGTATAACTGTTATTAAAAATAAATTATTTTACATTCAATAAAACCATCAGGTAATGACTCTGCATAAAGCATTGAATTTAAGTCTGAATTATCCAACATATTTAATATGTTTATACTAAAAGATGTAAAGTCCTATTTTAGCAAAAAATTGCATTTTGGTTCTTCTTGCCAACAAACCGTCATGGAAACAAGTCATATATATATATATATATATATATATATATATATATATATATATATATATACATGCATATATAAATATATATATATATATATATATATATATATATATATATAAATATATATATATATATATATATATATATATATATATATATATATATATGCATATATATATATATATATATATATATATATATATATATATATATATATATATATATATATATATATATATATATAAAAAACCAGTGTACAAACCTGTATACATATAAATAGCTGATTTATTTTGACTATTAAGAATATCTAATATTTCTTTTATACTTTTAATTTTAAGACATTTTTTATGTATATACGTTCTTTTTATAGATACAAATATTTAAGTAAATGCTCTGTTTATAATAAACAGTATTAAGGACATTTACCAGCCTGAATGTCCAAGCAATTTTCATAGAAAATATGCATCCTACAACAGGAATCAAACCTGTATCCTATACAGAACCTTCATATAGCCTGACGTGCTTTTACCGATTGAGCCACAGAGGAGCGTTGCAGTTAGCAAGGTTGATTTTACTTTTTTTAAACTATAATTCTCCATGGTTTTCTCTCATACAAAAAGAACGTATAAAAATAAAAAATGTCTTAAAATAATTGTCAGACTTTGTCCATTACATAATGTGTGATGTCATTTGTTTACATTTGGATACACATCAAGCAGATATGAATGTATGAGAGAAAATCATGGAGAATTGTAGTTTAAACAGTAAATTCGACCTCGCTAACCAAAATGCTCCTCTGTGGCTCAATCGGTAAAGCATGTCAGGCTATATGACGGTTCCGTATAGGATACAAGTTTGATTCCTGTCGGAGGACGAATATTTTCTATGAAAATGTTTCAGACATTCAGGCCGGTAAATGTTGTTAATACTGTTTATTATAAACAGAGCATTTACTTAAATATTTGTATCTATAAAAAGAATGTATAAACATAAAAAATGTCTTAAAATAATTGTTAGACTTTCTCCATTTCACTTTTAATTTTACTTGTATAACCATGTCACTCTTTGGAAAACATACTTTCTTAATGTATGCTTCAACTGTCATCTAAGTGACATATAATTTTCAATCACTAACTCAGAAAAATACAAGATCTGTTTTGATATGATCCAGCTATTCCCTAAAAGGTGGTGTACCTAAAGCAATAGTACCTTGGTCTTCAAACTACTCTCTTTGGAATCTCACCCACTTATCCCATTGCCACTTTCATTTTCCAAAATATATCTAAAATATCCTTTTTAGAGCTTGCTATCAGTTGCCTCATCATGTTCTCTTTATACTTGACAATAATAAAAAATATCTTCTCTATTTTAAAGCAAATTTTAACTTTGGAAAAAAAGTCAGAAGTATGCCAATTCTGAACTGTTGGGAGATTTACAAAGTTAGGTGATTTATTGGTTTTCTAAAGAAACCTGCATGAGATGTGAAGAATGAGTATTCAAGATACTCAAAATGGTTGGAAATTTTTTTTTTTTTTAAATATCTGTGCATTCCCAGATCTTCTATTTCTCACCCTGTCAATCCATGATTTCCTTTGATTGCAGTCCACCTGCATTCAATATTGTCTGGGCATACTACTTGTTGAAGACCTTCCAGAAGATGAATTGCTTTCAAGAAATGCCCAGCCATGTTTGACTATCAAGAAAGTGGGATTACTAAATCAAATAATCAAGGACACTAGTCATTTTATTGTTCTATTGGCATTGGTTTGGAAAATAAAATGAAAAGGCTTATTTTCCAGCAAACAAACCATTTTGAACATTTTTTTATGTTGTAATGGGATATGACCGACTGTAAAGTTTCTTCAATGTCAGTCTTTAATGGATCATAAAGTATGTGCATGAATGAATTTTCATTTGTTATATAGAGCATAACATACACATTTAAATATTTGTATATTTATGTGCATATATCTGTCTAAGAATATAAGAAACTCAGTTTATTTTTCTCATGTTCTTTTTTCCTGTAAATATTTTGGCATATCTTATCTCTACAGATGACAATTAAAATAAAGGAGTCATTTAGGGAACCATCTCATTACTCTTCAGCAATGTTATTTATTTATGAAGATGGGATTTTTTTTCTGGGTGCAGTACCTAAAGATTTTTTTTCATTTAATAAAACTATAACTGAATCTCACATCCTGTATGGCTGGATATTAATGGAGAACATTTTAGGCTGAAAAGTTATGAATAACTGAAAGAGTATTTTACAGCTTACCAGAAATAATTTCTTCTTTTCAGTTTTATTTCTTTATATACTTTGCTAAATTTCATTTTGAACTTTTATCATCTTGATTTTGACTTAATGGACAGCTTCTTCAGAACTCTGTTTGTTTATATGTTATTAGTCTGTTTGAAACAGAAATTTTACATTTCTTTCAGTAATTTCTTATTTGTAACTTTTTCATGTTTTTTCTGAAAATGGTTTTAATCAACATTAACTAAATTTACTACAGTTTTATTTATTCATCAAATGTTAATTGCTTACAAGTGTTTTTGATGAAGGTTGATAATTAACTTTTATAATTGCTAAATGTTTTTTGGGTTTTTTTAAAATAAGCCAGAGATATTCATTAAAATTAATATTATTTTTCATTATTCAAAATAGAGCTGCTTAGGTTATTATGAAATTGTTATTTGCAGGTGGTTCTGTCATGTTGATGATGATACATATGTAAACGTACCAAAATTGGTGACCCTCTTGCAGAAGTACAACCACACAAAAGATTGGTACCTTGGTAAACCCAGTTTAAAGCATCCAATTGAAATAATGGACAGGGATAATCCTGGGGTAAGTTATCTTATTTCTATACCTACTTAAAAATACTGCATCAAATTTAGACTAGAGCTTAATAACTATTAATGTTGGTTTAACTTTGCTGGCCATGATTTTATATCATGATGGATTCTGGAAATTTTGTAGTAGTCAGTCAGTCAGTTAAGTACCATATGCAATACACAATTGGATGATCATGTCTCTTTCAATTCATAACTGACTAGGCATAATATTTTCCTGCAGTAGGTTGGCATTTCTTTCTGTAGTAGCTTGGTTGCCAAACAAGGCTATAGGACCCAGTCTGTCTTAATATTCAACTCGTAGCTTTTTGATTTCTCATTCTATTTCTCAGTATCCATTATAACACAATGTACAGTAGTAGTTTAATATTACTCTCTATCTAGCTTAATTCTGTTTTTAGTTTGATATTTTTTATTTCACTCCAAGCTGCTTCTGAATTAAGAGTCCTTTCTTAATATGGACATGATTTGTTCATAGCTGGGGGTTTGAAGTATATATTTTTCCCAAGGGTAGTAGCACTAAAAGTGTTAGTTGTTAAATAAAAAAATGCATTGCTAGCCATATATGTTGACACTTTAGCATTAACTACTGTGCTTTTCTCTGCAATCATATATATCTATATAAATAAAAAAAGTAAAAGCTATCTTTTTCAGTTCCACAATAAATTCTAAATATAAGTTTTTACACTTAAAAAAAAGGTGTGTCATTTTCATAATTTAGATAAATTTGGTTTCCTTCTAAGAATATCATATACTAAAAATGGAATCATTTATGTGGAAATACATTTGAAATTTCTGTTTATACATTTTGTTGTTGTTTTTATTCAAATTTCTCTTTATATTATGTAAGTCTGTGTTTTGCAATTACAAAAATGTTATTTGTAGTGCCAAAATTTACAAAGCATGTTTGCAAGAGACTGACCTGCTAAA